GAACCTCGAGAAAGTTTTTTTGTTTGTGTGAGCAAAGCCCTCTCTGCAGTATTTCTACAGGGCAGGAAGCTCATGGTGGACTCAGGGAGGCAAAAGCCTCGGGAGGCAAGTTTTTCCACGTGGCAACTGCAAGCCTGCTTCCCCAGGCCAGCAATTTCGGATAGCCTTCCCACAACCTTTCTAGGGGGTGGGAAGACAAAGCAGATCTGACACACCGCTCCTGCCAACCATGAAGGCATCAGCACTAGGATGTGCACAAACAGACATCGAACACCATCAAGGAGGCTCTCAGTACATAAAACCCTGTGTGCTGGTGGTGCAGCGTTGCCCATCAGACCATTTCTAACTGCTGCAGCAGCAGGGGAAATCATTCTGAGTAACTGCGGTGTATCTGTTTCTAAAATTAGGGGTCTTCAGCCAACCAGTACGGGCAAGCTGTATCATTTTGTTGAATAAAGCCTGAAAGTTTAATAGCAGAGAACTTGAATGGCAAGATTTAAGCAAGCCTTAGCTTGTGCTTGATAAACAAGCGCACTGTACCCAAAGCAAAACCATGCAAAACGTTTCAGAGTTGCAGCAAGATGGCTGTGGTGATAGCAGCATGATTACCCTTCTGCTCACCCAGGCTTCAAAGTGAAAGGAGTTTGGCATGTTTCCTAAATCTTCTTGTCAATAAGCGTGTCACAAGGCTGACCCCAAGCTGACCAGGTCCATGTGAAAATCCCTCTCTTGGTTAACAAAAGGAGTCACAGCTCCAAGAGTCTGGAAAGCATCACGGAAGGGAAAAGGTCCAGCTGCCTAATACCTCTTGTGAGCAGCTACTAAGGACACTCGTCTTCTGTAAAACTCTGGGCACAGATGTTCTATAAACATTAATAAAGCACAAGCCACTTTTTCCCCTCCTGACTTTCACACCGTTAAGGTTCTAGCCTTGAGTACTTCCAGGTAAGCATCCAAACATGAAAAGAAGACTAATAGATAACCTATACGCAGCCAGGGTGGTGAATAAGGCTGCAGAAACACCACCACCACCCACTTCCATGCCGCAGAGATGACTTCTGCACTTTGTGGCAATGCCCTCAGCAGTAATGAAAACATCCCCCCATAAGTCACAGCAGGAGTGAAGGGCAGACTAGATGTGAGTCATACAGCTATAGGCAGACAAGGGAATGTGGGTGTGTTAACCCTGTGGCTCCAAGCCAATGCGACCTCAATCAAATTTTGGTGAATGATGGGCCTTTCCCTCTTTTGTGTACTAATCTCCTTGGTCTCCAAAGATGTATCCATTGAGCCTACACAGAGCTATTTAATCTGGGGAGCTCTCCTGGCAAGTACAAATCAAGATGCAGTGGCAGTGGTGTTGGTAGTGGCGTTCCTCCCCATGTGAGTTTTGCTCACCATACCTTAGGTTTGCTTCCTCCAACCGGCATTCCAAGACCCTTGCCAGAGCCCTATGGTGTAACCACTGTCTGTCCATTCACATTTGCAACCTGTTTCTATTCTCCTGCTATCTTAGAGCACACAACCCTATCACATTTACAAAGGAGGAAAGACCAGGAAGGAACACAGCTTGCAACTGCATTTATTTGGAAATTCTTGCACTGAAATGCTGTTAAAGTGTTTGCCAGGGACTTCAGTGGAAGCAGGCTAGCTCTAACATCTAGCACACTCCCATAGGAAACCTGTGTAAACTAATTCAGTTGAACCGTTAGCACTCGAGGTGATTAACCACAGAAATCTCTGATCTCCCCTTATTAAAGAGGAGAATGAAACTTACTGATTCATATCAGCTTAATATAAATCCTTGTGAGATTCATGGTTGACTTCAGCAGTGGCAGGATCTGGTAACCTCCAAGGAGGAAAAGCAACTCTCTTGCAAGTACTCCTTCATGTGACAGGGGAAAGCTGAAGGCATTTCTCCTGGATTACAATCAACAACCAAGTCTGAAGTGTGCAAACTTCCAGCCTGTGGTGTGCAGCAGACAAGTGCTGCAGCTCTAAGAAGGTTTATTCTGATGCCACTTTTGAATACTTGGCACTTAGTAGGCAGACATGTGCCGTCTTGTTTTAAACAGCTCCATCTTCACATGTTAACTGTGCTGGGCTAGGGGTAGGAAGGTTTAAGGACGGCCATAGTTTGACTGCAGAGATCATTCTCTGCCACAAGAGCTTTTCCCTTCAGTAGCTGAAACAGTGCTTTGGGGCAGCTTTCGAGGTGCTTACCCCATGTCAGAGAGGCCACTTCTAATAACCTCAAACCCTGTTTTTAGATGCCCCAGCCTGAGCAAAGCAGGACACGAATATAGCTTTAGTAACACTAAACGAATCTCGTTTTTCAAGACACCCTTATAAGCTTGCTTGGTGTTTTACGTGTCTTTTACAAGATATGCTTTTTGATATATGTGTCATTCCACTGCATCTGTGTGCAATCTTGCACCTAAGTGCAACTCCAGGATGCTAGACACAATGAAACAGGTGGTGAACACAACATGTTGTTTCCAGCTCTACCTAGGATATCAGAGCACAACTGCTGCAAACTGCTCATTTCAGTATTTCCTCCAGAGACCTCCTTAAGAACAAGGACTGCCTCTCATGGGCTGCATGCTGTATAGCAAAAATTGAGTTTTGGCTCCCGCCCAAAAGTATAGGAGTAGCATTTTGGAAATGGTTAAAGGAAGAGCAGCATTTCTTTTTAAATACCAAGATACAACTGTTCCCATTTAGGTCTGGAAAGTCAGTCATACATAAGGACAGCTTGGTTACGATCAGGAAAAAAAGAAAAAAAAGCAAGTGGGAGAAGAGAACAAAGCCCTGTTTCAAGAATGCTATTGTTCGTACAACTACAAACCTAGGGTCTACAAAACCATCAAGAAGAAGCTGAAGTTGGATGAGGCAGGTAATATATTACTAAATGCTAGAGCATCTTATAAAATTCTTAAGGCTGCATAATGACAGAACACTTGAAAAGCGAAAGAAACAAGTTCCTTAGATGAAATCTTCAGATTTCAGTCCTCACGGATGTGTCAGGACATAGACCTTGCACAGACGTAAAAGGTTCCTAATGGCAGCTGTACAGACAGAGGTGATCCTGCAGCTACCCAAGTGTGCTCCAGCATTATCAAGACAACACGCTTCAGGCACACAGTATGTGCCAGCTGCAACATTGACCTTGGATCTCTCATCCAGAATCCACAGGCAGAGCAACAGAGGAAGTAAAAAATGACTGGTTTAATTGTAAAAAGTTTTCACATGAAAAAAGCTTTAGATAAAGCATGACTCATAACTTTAATTTAGCTTTAAATACTTGCTATTTGCAAACCAAATAAGACATTCCTTACTCCCTATGTTACCTATAAACCAAACCAACAGATAGCTTTCAGTTGAACAAAGCATGCCTAGGAGATAAGGGATGAGAAGTATTTTCTACATCATTATGTTACTTACATGGACTTAGAAAGAAATGGCACCTGTCACCACACAATGAACACATCAAAATGTGAAATGTAATGGCATTCTGCATTTGGGAACAAAAAGTTGATATTGCCACTCTCATTTTAGCTACTGCAAAAATAGGAATGGCTTTTGCCTGTAATTTGTTTCCCACGCTGAGCTTTATTGAACATTACATATACCCAAATTCCTAGCTGACTGGCATTTTAAATCAGTGGAAGAGGAATAAATTCTTTCTTCTCTTTTACAAAAAGTAGTGAGAAAAACAGGTCCTATTCATCGAGGATTCATGTTGAAATCATCTTATTGGTACACATTTGTAAAGAAACTAGAGCAATGAGGTCTGCGAGGACAACTACAACAAAAATGGTAACAACCCGAGGGATGCAGCAGGCTCACTGTGCTTAACTGCAGCAGAGTGAGTACAATTGAAGGTACACTGGTGACCTGACAGCAACGCCCCTTTAATTTACAGCCATACAGTTTGTAGACTCCCCTTCTCAAGTTATTTATACAAACCAGGATTCCTACAGGAATTTTGGCTCTTCAGATACTGAATTCCCAGGACAGAGCTTTGAAAGAAGCTCCATGTAGTTTATTGTTAAAAGGTGTTTTATGCACACAGTCTTTATTCCTTGAGTCAAGTTTATTCTTTACGACAGTACTCAGTTGGATTTTCCTTCATTCACGTGGAAGTAGTTACACCAGCTTATCTGAGAAGCCCGAAAAAAATGAAGCTAGGAATTTTTCATGCAGAAAAGACCACTACAAAAGACAGTCTAAAATTTGTTATTGTTGAATATGCAAAGTCTAATGTCCCCAACAGATGTATTTCCTCTAACAAATAATTTGAACAGAGTTACCTTAAAAATGTAAATTAGTATCATCATGCAGGTAAGTGGCAAAAATTTTCAGTACACTTTTTTCCCTAAAAAGATGTGTTACATCAGCACCGCACTTACACAATCCTATCTTTCAGAGTCTTGAGACTACAAGCCTTCACCACCACACCCCTTTGCCTTGGAATACTCAACCACAAACAAATGATAAACTTTCTTTGGAGATATCCATGCACAGAAGAACAGAGCAGCCATTCAGATAAAATATTATAGGTTTATTTAAAACTTATTTTCCACTTGAATATGCAAAATACAAATTCCAACAAAATGTTCATTTTTACTTTGTAGTTTACAAATATACAAAATAGAAGTTTGCTTAAATTTATATTACATATTTATTATGTAAAGAACTATATAGAAAACATTTGTTCTGCTTAAGGCATATTTGGGAATAGACCATTGTACAAACTATTGCACATCGAAACCACAGTGCATTACAGACTGTCTGCATAAAGTTATTTTCTTAAAAAAAAATAAACCAGGTTTATTTACCTGGTTTAGGTCATAATAGGCGATCGGA